CAAAAATTGAAAATGTAAACAGAAAAAATAAGAAAGGAGGGGGATTAGCTTTTTTTTGTGCGGAAAGGTTTTGATTTCAAAACACGAGTTTTTGATAATCCACTGGAGCACTTTGTAATTAGCATTATTGATAACAACGCAATTTTATATAATTTTCGTTTAATTTATAGAGCACTATCAACTAATTTGCTTGATTTTTGGCTAATTTTTGATGCTGCTGAATGAACTCAAATCGTTGAAAGGAGAGCTATGCATCATGGGAGATTTTAACATTGACATACTTACTTCAGGAGCAACTAGTCTACAAAAAACCTATCGTGATTTATTAGCTGATTTTGACCGAGAAATGCTAAATAGTGAAGCAACAAGAGTAACTTTAAACAGTTAAACATGTATCGATCATATCATTTCACCAACAAAGGTTGAAGTTAATACAATTTGTTGCAATGTCAGTGACCATTATGCGCTTCTGACTGAGGTCAAAATTAATAGCAAACAAACCGTAACAGACCAGCAAAAGCTACAATTGCGAAATATTGAGAAATTGAAAAATTCGAATAAAATTGTGAATTTTCTGTTTTTATTACAACACAAACTGCAGAAACTTTCTTTGTTCAGTTCAACGTCAAATGAAAATCTTTTAAAAATTTCTGAAATTATGCTAGATACTTTCGATGTTTTGCGCTATTACACTATCGTGTCATTAAAAAATCGTCTTGGGTGAATGGATGTTTGAAAAATTTATGCCGATATCGCGATTACATACATAAAAAAAATTGTAGAGATCCCCAGTGAACAAAATCAGTTAAATTACAAAAAAGTACGGAACAAAGTGAAAAGGAGGGTCAGGGAAAGTAAAAGACAATACTTCGATAAACATTTTTCTAAATGTAATGATAGCAAACAAATGTTTCAAATTTTTTAACACTTTTTGCGGAAAGAAAAGAAAGGATCAGATCGAATTGACATCAGACGAACTTAATGATTTTTTTGTTATCATTGGCTCAAAATTAGCAAATATATGTGAGTTTAAATCATTGCCTCGTATAAGTCGAGTCTTAAATAGTTGCATTTTCCGACCTGCTGATGTTAATGAAATTGAGAACATTATACTTGCTCTTAAAAACAAAAAAACATGTGATCATGATGGTTTCAGCAATGAGATGATTAAGTTGTGCTCACCAGTCATCAGTCCTTATTTGGTTCAATGCTTCAACACTTGGGTTATTCAATTACGTTCAAACTTTACAAAGGGACTCTCCTGATGCTAAACAAGTCTACCATGGGAATAAAAATGACGTCATGGAAACTATGCATAGTAGTGTTGCGTTAACAAGCGTTGACACTATATCAAACTAATCCACTTTAGTTTCTTTTGATTTGCCGTATTCTGGTTTTACGGTTAACCTAGTAGCACTCGAAATAGAAGGGAAAATGGTAAAAGAAAACGTATTTTTTATGAATGTTCGATCATTGCGGAGCCATTATGACCAACTTTCGATACTTGTTGCTTTACTAATTAAAGTGCCAATGATTTTAGCGCTTTGTGAGACATGGCTTACAGACAATGACCCAACTATTCTTTACAGTATTGACGGTTTTTCAAAAATTGAAAATGTAAACAGAAAAAATAAGAAAGGAGGGGGATTAGCTTTTTTTGTGCGGAAAGGTTTTGATTTCAAAACACGAGTTTTTGATAATCCACTGGAGCACTTTGTAATTAGCATTATTGATAACAACGCAATTTTATATAATTTTCGTTTAATTGATAGAGCACCATCAACTAATTTGCTTGATTTTTGGCTAAATTTTGATGCTGCTGAATGAACTCAAATCGTTGAAAGGAGAGCTATGCATCATGGGAGATTTTAACATTGACATACTTACTTCAGGAGCAACTAGTCTACAAAAAACCTATCGTGATTTATTAGCTGATTTTGACCGGGAAATGTAAAATAGTGAAGCAACAAGAGTAACTTTAAACAGTAAAACATGTATCGATCATATCATTTTACCAACAAAGGTTGAAGTTAATACAATTTGTTGCAATGTCAGTGACCATTATGCGCTTCTGACTGAGGTCAAAATTAATAGCAAACAAACCGTAACAGACCAGCAAAAGCTACAATTGCGAAATATTGAGAAATTGAAAAATTCGAATAAAATTGTGAATTTTCTGTTTTTATTACAACACAAACTGCAGAAACTTTCTTTGTTCAGTTCAACGTGCAATGAAAATCTTTCAAAAATTTCTGAAATTATGCTAGATACTTTCGATGTTTTTGCGCTATTACACTATCGTGTCATTAAAAAATCGTCTTGGGTGAATGGATGTTTGAAAAATTTATGCCGATATCGCTATTACTTACATAAAAAAACTGTAGAGATCCCCAGTGAACAAAATCAGTTAAATTACAAAAAAGTACGGAACGAAGTGAAAAAAAGGGTCAGGGAAAGTAAAAGACAATACTTCGATAAACATTTTTCTAAATGTAATGATAGCAAACAAATGTTTCAAATTTTTAACACTTTTTGCGGAAAGAAAAGAAAGGATCAGATCGAATTGACATCAGACGAACTTAATGATTTTTTTGTTATCATTGGCTCAAAATTAGCAAATATATGTGAGTTTAAATCATTGCCTCGTATAAGTCGAGTCTTAAATAGTTGCATTTTCCGACCTGCTGATGTTAATGAAATTGAGAACATTATACTTGCTCTTAAAAACAAGAAAACATGTGATCATGATGGTTTCAGCAATGAGATGATTAAGTTGTGCTCACCAGTCATCAGTCCTTATTTGGTTCAATGCTTGAACACTTGTATAGACGAAGGCGTATTTCCAGAATTTTTAAAAATTGCTAAAGTTATTCCTCTGCATAAGTCTGGTTCTAAAAAGGATGCAAATAATTATCGTCCCATAAGTCTTCTAACTTCATTTAGCAAAATTTTTGAAAAGATGATTTCTAATAGAATGATCTGTTTCATTGAAAAGTATGGATTACTTGCAAAAAACAGTATGGTTTTCGTAAAAACCGTTCTTGCGTCCATGCTATTATTAAAATAACAGATTTCATGCGCAACACTGTTGACAAAAAATGTTACGGTTTAGCATTATAAAATGATTTAAAAAAAACGTTTGATACAGTTGACCATGCTATACTCCTAGTTAAATTAGATCGATTGGGTTTTCGAGGAAAATTTCATTTACTTTTGAAAGACTATCTCTCCAAAAGGTATCAATATGTTGAAACAAACGGAAAATAATCCATAATGCTTGAAATTAAATGTGGCGTGCCCCAAGGCTCAATACTTGGACCTCTCCTTTTTCTTTTATATATTAATGATTTTCCTGATTTTCTTAGAACTAGTGAGGTGGCCCTTTTCGCAGATGACACAACAATTTTAAATTCGTCAAAAAATTTAAATTTTGCCGAACAGTTTTGTGATGATGTAAAGCGTATAGATGTCTGGTGTGCCAACAATAAATTAACTGTGCATCCGTCGAAGTGTAAACTTCAGCAATTTGGTAAAAAGCATATTGAATTGAAAGAGATCAAATTAGGTGGTGAAAAATTGGACTAGACGACCAACTTCAAATATCTTGGAGTCTTGCTTGACTGTGAACTCAACTTCAATGATCAAATTGAAAGTGTGTGTACTAAGCTAAGGAAGTTTAACGGAATCATGTATCGTGCACGAACCTGTTTTTCTAATATCATCTTTTACGTTTCTATTCTGCTTATATCATTCCAATTATGTCTTACGGACTCATAGCATATGGGTGTGGCGCAAAAAGTAATATGGATAAAATTTATTTAGTACAGAAAAAGATTTTGAGGACTATATTTTTTAAATGTAAATACGAACATATTACGAGCGTGTTCATCGAATATAATATTCACACCGTTTTTGATTTATTTTTTTTCCAGATTTTTCACGAAATCTTTCGACAACTAAGAAATGAGTCGCCTTTGAAATTCTTGATTAGGGATAAAGCTTCAACCATGAAAACGCGATCTAAATCTAAGGGTTTGTTAATCTTGCCAGCTCTTAGGACTACGAAAATGAAAAATTCTGTTTCTTTGATAGTCATCAACGCGTATAATTTTTTGATTGACAACAAACTAATCCCTAATAACCTTAACGTAATGACTGAAGTTGGGTTCAACTCTTTCTTTAAAAAATTCAGTAGGCTTTACATAATAGACAATGAAAGTATGTTTTCGCTGTTTTACCATCGGTAACTCCTAATTTCAGTGCCCTACTGTTTGTTTCTAGGTAACCTAAAGGGATGCTACTCGAAAGGTTGAATTACCTGTATAGCAGTCCTGATGTAGATTTATTTAACCTGTTTGATCAAAATGATGTGTGTCAAAATTTTATCTGCATCAAATTCAATTCAATTCAAAAAAATTCTATTTTCGAACTTGGAAAGAGCTTGAAGAGCATACAATATATGATGTTAAAGCTCTTTAAATTTTAAGAACAATTTGGTGATTGGTGCTTTTTGGACAAAATCAACTCAATTTAAGAGAACTGGATTATCAATAGGTAACGTTTCAATGACGAAACTTTGCTCACTTTTGACCATTTGCCGAGTGAACGCTCGCGCTTTATCAATTTAGCTACGCCAATAGACAAAAATTCGTTTGAAAAGCCCGCGGATAACAAAATGTTATGCATTCCAACTAAACCTAGCTACTATACAGCAAATTGATAGATCAAGTTAAACTGTGTTTCTTTTCTAGCTTTGACAAACTTCAAACTTTTGAGCAAGCTGTATTCGCGTTTGGACATCTGTGTCCCAAATTAAATTGTCCGAAAGACTGAAAAATATCTGGACTAAACATCGCTAGACAATTGTGTTGTTTCGCGCTCATGAGGGCAAACACGTGGTGACCATGCCTCAGAAACAGTCAGGAAACGTTCAATTGTCTTTTTCAGCGAGTTAGATTTTGATTCGTTGTTTTACGCCAAATCCTGTTATTTCTAAATACTATTTTTGGTACATTAATTCAAAATATAAAAACTACATTTTGAAATAGATTGGAAAATACTGAATTATATACAATAGAGTTCCTATAAATTCACTTCGATTTCAGGGAATGCGCAACGTCGGAGTGAGCTTTGAGACATTCTTTGATGAAGTCGAACACTTCGTTGTAATCGCCCTCTTTAAATCGGACGTTTTCCAACAGTCTCTTAGCACTGATTGGTTTGATAACTACAGTCGCTTTTGGAGACGACTCGGCTTGTATGTTCAGCCAGCCTTTTACGTCATCGATTACATCACTATCCGAGGTGTTCGCGGGTAGCGTGTCTTTTTTGTTGGGCAGAATTAAACATGGGTTGTCGTGGTGCATCTTAGCTCGGATCTTATGGTACCACTGATTGCACAATATATTGTTCTCGGGTTTTTCAAGGTCGACCACGAATATAATCAGCGAGTACTTATTGAACTCAATAGCTTCTAGTTCTTCGTCAGAGTTTGTGCATGGGACCACTTCAAATGTTACTGGAGGCTTAACTTTAGTTAGTACCTTTGAACTTGTCAGCCAATTTTCCACTGATTTTCTACCACTACCCTTTAGGCCAGATATGATTCCAACTAGCTCCTGTCTATCTCCTTTCCCGCCAAATTTGGATTTCATCTAAATTCAAAACGACAAATCATGAGCTACACTAGACGTAAGAGCTGTTAAATGACTACCCATCCTAACTTGCTTCTGCTTATGACCAGGGGCGGATCTAGGATTTTCTCGAAGAGGGGGCCGATTTTTTAAGGTCGACCCTCCCAAATCATTATCAAGAACCTATTGGACCAAGCGAACAATCTCCCCCCTAAATCAAATTGGGGAAGATATCGCTCACTTGGTTAAAAGTAATAATTTCAGCCAATCAGATTTGAGCATAGCACATGCAGAACTTACTGCTTGATTTTTTTAACGTAATTTCACGGGGAGATTGTTCATATGGGCCTCCCTATTTTCTGCAAATTTTAAAACTTTTGAAAAACCAGAACTTTTGTCACTTTTTGGAAAATGTTGACCAGAAAATCGCATTTTTGGGCGCGAGTTCCAACTCAAAATTAGTAAATATAGGCGCATCTAGAAAAACTTTAGGGTCGGCCAGCTAAAAAATGATGTGTGAAAATAGTAGCAAAAGAGAAGCCCTCCCCTAAATCTGCTCTGCTTCTGACCAAAACATAACTAATGTCACTTCTCCTCATCTTCATTAAATCTTTCATTGCAAACTTGCAGACTTCTTTTTGTCATTCATACTTCACTACAACAAGCACAGGTGGAACAAGACCGCAAACTTTTTTTTCGCTGATGTAAGGATTCTAGGGGTTCGCTTTATATTTTTAAGAAAGCAAATTTAGGTCATATTTACCAGAATACACGAATAAGTAGTCTAAAATTGGTACTTACGAAGCTTTTCATTTCTTTTATCGATGCACTGCTGTATTTCCTCTCTAATTGATATCTGAATGAATGTTTTATTTTCCTTGTTTTTAGCGTTTTGTAATGGCGTACTCAATTCTCAGAAATTCTGACAACAACCGATGACTCAGATGTGCGCTGCTATTCTATCTTTTGTGATATTGCTGGTGACAGCAGCTGCGCTTCGACTCTTCAGAATTATGACTACAATTTAGAATGGTGTGTTGAAAAGAATCAGTGTTTTAATTCCAATGCAAGCAAACAGAAGGTAAGTCAACATACTGTGTGGTTTCTCTGTAGAACTCAATTCAGCTACAGTTTGCATAGGGATTGAGTAAAACAAATGGGTTCTCAAAGTCCAGGAGTTACACAAGTCGGCGAATAAATAAACGTAATTTGCCAAGTAAAGCCATATGGCATTGCAACATATTAAAGACAATTATGCCACTCAATGAAACTGGTAAGAGAAGCAATCCAATTTTGGCTGCATTGATGCTGAATAATTCATCAATTGTACCTTAGTGATTGCCTAATATAGAGATTAGATTGCACATCACAATTGGTAGGATTAACATAATTTTGTCGAAATAATTGCACAATGATGAATTATAGATAGAAGAGAACTGCTTTGATAATTACCGTTTCAAAATACCGATTAAGTTATTAGATAACTCTGTTCAACATATAATTTTTTAATTTGTACACACCGGAAGCAAAAATAAATTAAATTACTGGAGAAACTTGATTGTAAGTAATGATATGGAGCTTTTACCTCGCAAAATAAATCTCTTGGAATAAAAATATAGCCATGACAACCTAAAACAGAAAAAAATAGGAGCTTCAATTCTAAATGCAAAAATTTTAGAAACGATTGGATAAATTTTGCATACAATGTGACTTGGCACATATAATGGTGTTGTTTGTACTTGTAGATGAAAAATGCCAACAGAAGTACAAGAATCCCTTTGTGGGAACCAATTTCAGAAATGAAACAGCCTATTGATTACATGTTCCCTCGGGATGCCACTTTAATACATGTGCGATAGCAGCCATTGTTCTCTTCCGCCTCACAAGTTATGCAAATGATTGAAGAGACAAGAAAGGAAATTCAGGCCCAAAAATAAAAAATAATCTTCTGCTGGAACTGATTGTCTATACATACTGGGAAAACTCAACCAAAAATTTCACTGTTCAACCAACAATGCTTTTTACACCTGGGAAAATCATTGCACCGTACATTTGTGCTTTACGGCAGGTTGTAAATGTTATACGAAAGCAGAAAAATTAATTTCAGAAAAATCTGTTTCATTGTTTCAACTTTGAGCGAGGAATCCTCATTTTTTGCTCTGATCATTTTTGGAAAAAAAAACGACAGAAAAAGAGCATGATGTGAGATTAGTTTATCCTAGCAATTTCAGTTACCTCTGAAGATCGTATAAACAAGACCGTAAATAACTAAGTGCGGTATCATATTAAAGCCCTTTTGCATTCTGACAAGCTTTGAGTGAACTCCCAATCTGATAACTATTAAACTTATTTAGTTAGAAAGTGAAACAGTCAGCACAGAATTGGAAAACTTTTAATGAAAAGAGAAATCTTAAAACAAAATATTTTTTGTTCACCATTTTTCAATTCTCGAGTTTATAATTTTTGAAGACTAAATTATATCATTTGGCTTTTTCGATTTTAAAAATTTTTCATTATCGACCCTCTCTTGATAAAAAAGTACTAATTTGAAAAATTTGGTGTTTTTATTCTCCTGGGAAATCTAAAAACCAAACTCCACTTTTGACGGTAAAATCAAACACCTTTTTTCATGCCATTTAATTTTTTGTTATTGAACAGTGTAAATCTCCTCCCTTTTAGCAAATGTGTTTGAAGTGAGCTTGAAAAAGATCTTCCTAACCTCAACTTTGGGCGTGAAAGCCACTCAACCAAAACAAATGTGTTGTGTTCACTTCATTCATTGAGATTTTAAAAATCAGTCCAAGTATAATCTATCCGGGAATGAAGATGGTATGAAAGCAACCGAAAGTTACGTCATGTGTTACACTTTGCATGATTTTTGTAACGGTTACATAATTGTAGCATAATTATACTACAACTCCCCAATATTTTCAGCCGGCTGATTACGGTAGTAGTCTTGTATTTCGACTGATTTCTCTGCTTAATTGTCGGTGGTCTAAAATTATACGGGCTCAATCGAAATAAGTTTCACAAGACCTTTTCCGCATTTGAATAAAAATTTCACCTTAAGGTAAACTGAAATATTGATCTTTAGCTTATAATGCACTAGTTTATACGCGGAACTATTACGAATGGAAGAAGTGATTTTTTTCCTACAAGTATGAGCTGTAACAAACACATTAAGATTTCGCCAATTTGGAATAATTGCAATGTGTTTCTACAATATTTTTGTTTCCGGCATGCTTTGAAATCATTTATGCGACAAATTCAGATTGCGATATAAAAATATTAAACTTCGTCAGACAAAAAACAACGAGAGGTGACATATTGTCAATAATTGATGAAAATTAATGGAGCGTAGATGATGCTCAGAGGCGGATGTAGGATTTTTCTCGAGGGGGAGGGGGCGGATTTTCAAAAATCCAAAAACTTTCGAAAATTTTGTCGACCTTTTTTTAAATTGACCAAATTGAACTAGAGCACTAAAAACTTTTTGCAAAATTTTTGCACCGCAGGGAATGCAAGTCCAAATTGCCGTTTTTGCGATTTTTTTCGAAAATTTTGACCAAAAAAAGGTGCCACTATATCGGCGCCAAATGCGCCATTAGAAATTCTAGGGTTGTTCAGCCGAAAATGGATGTCATAAAACAATACCAAAGGGGTGACCTTTGGTATTATTTTATGACATCCATTTGCGTCCCCCCCCCCCCCCCCCTTAATCATCCCGTTATAATGCTATAGTTCGTCGAAAAGCAGCGCATTTAAAAAACTAAATTTCAAAATTGACTTTTGATTTAGCAATGCACAGCAATTAAACGCCGATGCCTTTCGAGAAACGGATTCGATATGGAATGTTTCATGGATCTTCAAAGCTATTGAATTACTTTCAAAGACATGATATTTTTGAAGACAATCTTTTCAACTTTAGGGAAAAACAAGCCATTACAAAGATTGAATTGCATCACTATACTTCAAACTTGTGACCAACAAATTAAAAGACACCGGTTACAAGTATCAAATTCAAATCGGTACAAATAAGATAATTTGGATCTCTTCAAAACAAGCAAATAAGGAACATGGGTCTCGCGTGGTCAACTGTAAATGAAATCAAAACGAACTGTAATTCCCGCACTAAACTATTTTTTGGGAAAACTGTAAATTAAATTGATATTCAACTGATAGTATTCGCATAAAAGTAACTACAAATAAAACTAGCAAAATAGTAGCTGATTCATCATTATATCTCGCATGGACAAAACAAAGATTGCAATCGATTATCGCAAAATCTAGTTTGACAACCTAGTTTTTTATGCACTAAATAATGGATTTTTTTTACTATCAAATCGTTTCTAATCTATAATTATTTAATCGATTCGATAGTCACCAAAATCCATTTTTAAGTGCATATTTTGGTAAAGATTTTATACAGATTAAATTATATTTTTTTTGTAATTTTTTTTAGCTACCAGAAAAGACCCTGAACAAAAAATAGTGCCTGGTAATTCCCACCTGCGAATTTCTACTTGTACCTTAAAACGAAAACAGAGAAATACTTTTTATATCATTTGTTTAGGCTAAAATTTAATTTTTCGTGGTTTGACTTCTGGCCTCTTTTAAAGTTGAGTTCACTTCTTTTCTTAAAAAGAAGACAAAATTCACGAGCCAAAACGAAAAAAGGTAAAGGTCACAAAAACGTGATCGACTTCTATTTTCAAAAATGATTTTTAATCATCAGATTTTCCAGCGAAATAAAATGTACCCATTGATCCAGTTTTCTCAAATTGGGTTTGTCATGAGGTGAACTTCGGTACCTCGCTTACTTATTGCCTTTTTGCAGCTATGCTGCTGATTTCACTACCAGTTGTGTTCAAGGCCACCGGCTTGGCCTATATTGAGTGTCACGCTGTGCGTGGTCACTCTGTTGTTTTGATACATCGTTTGCTAGATGTAAATTTATTCTGAATCTTATTCTATGGTTCTTCTTAGTCAGAGCTTGACTAATAAATATTTAATTTGAAACCAAGAACTTAAACAACTTATTTATCAATTCATTATTACGAACAACCAAGTTTTGTCCTTTAAATCTCGGCAAATGTCATGACGCAGCGAGCAGTTCCTGTGAACGAAGACAGGACTGACCTGTTAGGTATTCCTCCTTTTTGGGCGAAACCTTCGATCAACCCGCCGTTCCTTTGAGAACCTTGGATTGGACAATTCTTCCTGGCAGTGGGGCTGGAGGATAATAAATCCTCAGGACCTTTTAGTGGAACCCGCGGAGGTCATCGACGAACCCCCTCCAAGAGCAGAGGCTGTAAGTGCCACGAAAGACGCTGGGGAGGCAAATGCCCGAATCCTCCGAGATCAAGCGGAGGTTCGTAGAATCAATGAATTGAATATCGAGCGCAGAAGAAAAGGCCCTCGAATTGGTCAGAACTGGTTTTATCACGAAGCTGAAGCCCGTCTGAAGTCACGATTGTTTTTCGCTTTGGGAAATAAAGGCGAGAGACGTTTCGCAGATTCTTACCCGCACACGGACATTATTGTTTCTCCTTTTCGTGAATTTCACAATGCTTGTGAGACATTGTTCAAGATAGAACGTGATTATACTGTTGAACGTATCAAACTGTATAACACTATATTCATGTTGGAAAACGATACCTTCTCTTCATTTTACGCTCGTCTCAGTGCTCAGATTACTTTGTGTAATTGGCCCAATGCTCAAGAGAGGGATACTTTGAAAGACCTTTTCATCGGACGAATCCGTAATGTGGATGTTCAGCAACAACTCATTAAGGCAAAAAAAGGACTTGGATGACACTTTTAAACTCGCTCTGGAATGCAAAAAAGAGGCCAGTACGTCGGCTCAGTTCCAAAAACTACTCCCGCACAATCAGTTCTCCAGCACCATAAAGGTTAAACAAGAGCCTACTCTATCAATCCAGTCGTCTCGAGGAAAACGTACTTCTCCTCAGAACCAATTCAATCGACAAAACGCGCAAAGTAACAAAGGCAACAGAGCATGCTATTTCTGTGGCAATCCTTTTAATCCCGGAACATAGAAGGTCGTGTTCAGCTCGAGAGGTTACATGTAACCTTTGTAAAAAACGAGGTCACTTTGCCAAATGTTGTAACTCATCAAAACGGCGTGTAAATTTGGTTGACGATAATGAGGAAGTGGCAGACCCCCTCATCGATTGTAATTTTATCGACGCTGATTACGATAGTGAACCGGAGTACGGTGTGTTGCAACTAGTAAGTGCTGTCAGGATTGATAGTATCGAGCTCCTAAAGTCAAACAAAGGGAAACCAAGAAGCCTTTGTATCCAATTGCGTACTGGGCAGAGTTTCTTTTACTCAACTGTAGACACAGGAAGTCCGGTTTCGTTCCTCGAAAAACGAACCTGTGACTTAATACTTCAGCGTAACCCGTCTATCCAATTTCGAGATATCACACGATACCCTATTGATACTCTGTACGTTGATTATAATAAGAAACCGATTCGTCTTCTTGGCTCAGTTAGTCTTCCGATCTCTTCTAGTGGTTGGAAAGTAGAGGAGGCTTGTTTCCTTGTCTCCGAGAATAGAACCCGAAATCTGTTGGGCTTAGATTTGCAAGATCAATTAGGTGTGGTGACTACTCAACTGAGGGCAGAACCCGTACAGCACCTTGAAGTTAAGGATCAAGACCCGATTTCCGATTATAGGAGTTCTTTCTTTGCCAAGAAATATGCTCATGTGTTTAGTCGATTAGGAAGATCCAAGAACCACAAAATATTAACAAATTTTAAGTACCCTCTGGTACCGCGTCAAGTTAAAGGACGTAAAGTCCCGATTCATATCCAGGACAGAGTTGCTAATGAGATCAAACAGTTCGTGAAGCAGGGTCACATTGAGAAACTGGATAAATGTACGACCGATTATTTCATAGCGCCGATTGTATTGATAGCCAAGAAGAATGGCTCGATCAAA